AAAATTATTAAAAAGCCAAATTATGTATTACCTTTCAATACGTTATGTTTCATTTAAGTATGAGAACACAATACCGCATGGCAAATATATAAATTCAACAACTCAGCAAGCATGTAAATAGTAAACTAGTATGTAGTTTTGTTTGGGTTTAATCCAGAATAGTAGTAAAATAATATAAGCATCATATATATACAAGGTGATTTCTAAATTGCTTTTACAAATTTAGAAAGGTGATAGTACCCATCCAGATGAGCAATAATTACCATAGAACTTAGGGTCGCACACTGAGAGGCAGAAAAGGGGAATATCAGAATTCCAACCTGAACTTAAACAGTGTTGGGAAAGCGAATGAACGAAACTAAAAACTGCGCTACCAAATTCATTGTTCAGTGAAAAACTTGCAGAAAATGATCAAAATGCCGACCACATGTGTCGTTGCACAGTTGACATCGGAAGGAACGATTGGCACACCCTTCCGAAGATTCCTGGTATGGTGTTAATTTTGTCTGCAGCAACAATGATTCTCGACATGAGATCTTCAGCCGAGTCCACAGGTGTCTCGTATGCTAAAGATTTCATTTCTGCCCCCAGAAGAAAAAGTCCAGTGGGTTGAGGTTCGGTGAGCTAGGAGACCAAGCCACAGGTCCGCCACGTCCGATCCATCGTGCTGGATATGTGGCATTTAAAAAGTTATGGGCCATGATGGAAAAAGGAGCTGGGGCTCTTGTGCATAAACAACATGTCTCGCTGAATGCGGAGCAGAACAGCTTGCAATAAACTGGGAAGTACCTGTTCAAAGAAGATACGGTATGTTGCACCAATCAAACGGTTTGGCATGATGTAAGGGCCTGCCAGGTAATCACCTAGGACACCTGCCCTAATATTTGAAGCGATGATGTGTCATTTTCAAGCACACCGTTTGCTCTGATTGGCTTTTTCCGGTACCAACTAAGAGCAATTGCTTCTTCTCAGGGAAAATTTGCACACTGTTAATTCTTGATAGTCTTAGGAGATAGATAGTCTCATTGTCCTTCCTCAAGGCATCTCTACTTTCCTCTTTTCTGCTTCTCAGAGTGGAATGCGACCCTATGTTCTATGGTAATTATTGCTCATCTAAATGTGTACTATCATCCCTCTTAATTTGTAAAAGCAATTTAGAATCGGCCTATATATATGTACTACTTCATTAAAAAATTCATATTTTTCAATTATATCAGGTAAAATTAAGAAGATATACTAATTACATATTAAAGATAAATTACTAACAATCTACCATGAGAAGCATGCTAGACTGCACATAATCAAGACTGCCAGATATTAAATATACATATAAAATTATAGATTTTCAAACAGTCAAATTTTTTAAATGGGCTCTTATATTAGAGATGTATTTTATAAGTCTGCATTTATTATATTTTCTTTATTTATTATTCTACTATTTTAAATGGCTACAACCATTATTTAAAACTCTTTTAAATTGATAATTTATTTTTAAAAGAATCTCTGAAAGAATTTAATCAATTTGAATAAAGTAGTTCAAATCTAGTGGAGCACATGATCTAGTAAGTTTGACTTCCGTGATGTGCTTCCATCTCTCTATGAAAGTATAAGTTAAATATACCACAAATACCCTTAGTTTATTTCTATAAAATGGCCGATGATTTGGTTCTGGATTTTTTTCACAGAGTATAATTAATCATTTTTAAAATATTTGGCAGCACACAGAAGTGCCACGGCACAGTGGCACTGGTCTACATGAAAGCTTCATGAGATATAACTGAATGCCAGAAGACCTGCTGTGTGCATTCTGCTCACTGCAGAACGCAAAAGAGCACATTTAGTATGGTGTAGGCAATATCCAGTATGTCTCTAATGATGTGCGACATGGCTCACAGTGAGAAAGGGACAGACTTCATACCCTGGTGGACAATTGCTAAGGACAGATGACAGTACAGCAATGTCAACCACAAAATGAAAGCACTTTTCTTCCTGACATCACTTAGATGATTTTACGCATGGCTGTATTATTGACAAGAATGAAGAAGGGCAAAAAATCACAGATTTTGCTAAAAACGAGACCAACACATCTACTGACGCAGCAAATCAGTTACTTGCTGCTATTGGAAACAAATCTCATGAAAAACTGTAGCCAGGGTGTTTGCATCAAGAAGAACTAACCATCCTGTTGTGTGCATTCCATTATCTAGACGCCACTGTTCTGCCCATTTGCAGTAGTGTCATCAGCATCGCAAAGACTACTGGACTTGTGCACTATTCTTAATAAGAGTAGGTTTGGTCTACCATCAGAATTGTAGATACCAGTTGATCTGGTGTGAGAGTGGTACTGTTTATAATTTGGAAAAATACAGGAAAGGGAACGATATCTACATGTAGTGTCGTGGTATAGGCTGGGGATCAAGATCAATTGCCATATGTCGCTCTATGTGCTTCCAGCTGGGACTATGACTCGCCAAAGATACATTAATGATATTCTGCTACGTCATGTTTGCATGTTCTATGGTGGTACTGTTGGTAATAAATTTGTCTTCAATGGATGACACCACAACATGTTATCGACTAGCTGCTGTCCAGAAGTGTCTAGAGCAGGGGTTCCCAACCCTAAGCCGGAGAGCACCACGACACCCAGCAATCATTTAAACATGTACCCGTCACTGTGCAATCACAATCAAAATGTTTTACTTTTCAACAATATTCTATGTGAAAGTTTTCTCACTTTTAATGAAATAGAAATTGCATTCAACACAAATAGATACCAGCACAAAACGAAATGTGACTGATCTCTTTTTTATGTGCATGTATACTATTAACTATAAATTCACCTTGAAAAAGTAAATGGTGCCCACCATCCAACAGATATTTTAGAATGTGCTCTTAGGGACAAAAAGGTTGGGAACCCCTTGTCTAGACAGTAAGGATATTCAACACCTCGTATAGCCAGAACATTCTCCAAATCTGATAAACACATATATATGCAAGATAAAAAATAAGTGAAATAGAATTCTGCAATTAATACACAATGGTTCCTTAACTCTCAATTTTAATTTGTGTATTTCCTCCTTTTGTCTTAAAACCAGTAACTGCTCATAATAAACCTTCTAAACAGCATTATTCCTAAATTTATTAGTGTCATATGATCTTGACTGAGGAAGGCACTTATATAAATGCTTTAGCCAAACACGAAAAAGCAAATCAAAATCATTTTGAGAACTACAGTCAAAAGTCGTTAATTCGGACACCCATAATCCGGAATGATCTATAAATCCGGAACTCAAAACTAAAAACATGCGTCGCGTTGACACATGCGCATTGGCGTTTACGCGTGCGCGTAAGACCTTTACGCGCACGCGCATATGCGTGTGTGCAAGTGCAGAATACGTTTTCGCGTGCGCGTTTAACGATATAACGGACGGTATAAGCTAAAATTATACAATTATCTATTTCAGTTAATGTTGATGCTTGCGTTATTCCTTAATCTTCGAATTGGATGCAGCTTATTATTTTTTGCAGACTGTAAGAGCAATTTTATAAAAGTAAACTTGAACTTTCGATTATGTCAATTTCCGATTCTGGAGCTCCCAAAGGATCTACAAAACGAAAGTATGTCTCGATGTCCGTCAAACAAAAAGTGGAATTGCTGCAAAAAATGGATAAAGACATGAAGAAGGTGACAGAGAGGTTAGTGAAAACGAAAAAATTTCGATTGACAAGTTAGTCAGTATTCTCGGCACAGCAATTACGGGACTTGAATAGCGGAGCTTTTTAACTGAACAAGAAATTATGTCTTTATAGAATTAAAGAGAAAGTATTATCACATAAAACGAAACAACTTACATTGAAAGAAATGTTTAATAAAGTAAACAAATAAATATTAAGCTTCTTTTTTTCGTAAATTTTGATACCCTTTAGATCATAATTGTTCTTTATTTCCTAAAATACGGTTTCATATTTTTAATTTTAGAATTTGTGCATGGCATCTTACGAGATTTAAACTGATGATCTATAATCCGGAATCGCCGAAGTCCCAACGAGTCCGGATTAACGATTTTTGACTGTATAAGCTTTTTACTTCTTTGCCAGGCTTTTCTTCCTCCCCCCCTCCTGAATGCAACCCATTTTTGCTTTATATCCAGTCTAATTAACATGTCGGCACTCACCTCTCTGTTTTCTTCAGTCAAATTTTAAAAGGTATAAACTGTGATATAAAAATGGGTGCAGAATGTACTCAATATGATGCACATTTTATAATCAAGATATGCTTCTCAAGAATTGTTTTGTCCACAAATAAAACATGTTGACTTAGCAGAATAGCTAACATTTAATTACAACTACACAGTTATGCATTTAAATGCCATCACAATCCACAGCCTTGACCATCTACTACTTGTAGCTTCTCTCATCGAAATCATTACACATACATATGTAAGTGGAGTTTTATAACAAAAGGGATTCTAACAAACAGACATTTTAGAGCTACTATCAAGAGAACAAAAAAGCACAATGTAATAATATTGTTAAAAAAACTCTAAATCTACTTTCATTCGATTACACACAAAGTGTAGAAAACTGAAGTATATACAAATGGCATGAAGCTGACTTTTTTAATGTTGCCAAAATAAGTCAATGAAGAAAATACGACTCATCCCCCCAAAAAAGTAGCAAAACTACCTTTTCATTATTATTATTATAATTTTTTATGCATTTTTTATTAAATGATGCATTAGTTCAAATATGGGTATTTTTTATATATGATGTATTGCATAATGGAGGTTATATTTTAGATAAAATGTTGTCATCATAATTTCAGTAAAGTTAGAAACAGTATTTTACACATCATTCTTCTTTCAGAAACATGCTTTTATTACATATACTGTTAATAGATTCAAGCAATTCTATCATTTTATATACATTTTCAATGCTAATTTATAAATTAGAACACTTATCAAACATTAAGAAATGGATAAAATGTAACTAAAACTTACCAGGCACAGAGGTATTGCTTTTATGAATATCGATAATTCTAGATGTTGATAAAGACAAGCTTCTACTAGCTCTGGCTAGGAAGCCAAAACGTCCTCCTATTGAAAACATTTTTCTTTTAAAAAGAGATCAATTGAATCATTTTAAATAATTTTTGACTGAATTCTATTACCTATAATAAAAGAAATTCAATAATGATGTATGTCATATTTTTTTAATATAAAAATTATATATGAGTAAGATTACAGGAAAAAAAAATCCGAAAGAATATTTCAGAACAGACAGTATAAAGACTGATAAAAGCTTAATTTATAAGTATGATATATTAGGTTATATATTTAAATATTCAAATTTGGCAAATTGCACAAATCACATTGAAATGGTGAATTTTTAATATACGTAGACAGAACAATAAAATATGCAAGCTATTTGATTACCCACACTCCCACCAAAAAGTTGTGAACTCAATGATGACTTTAAACCGCATTCTTAAACTTTTTTTTTTTTTTTTTTTTTTTTGTGCCCGAGAGGGGGTTACGAATTTCAAACATTAACCACATACAAAGATAATTTTAAATTCATTTAAAGGCAGTACTTTTCTTTTGTTTTTATGGGACAGAAGAGTACCCTCTTCACATTTTGTGAATCTAATTGAGAAAGCAAAAATGTTAAATCTTGGGATTCTGTTAAACTAACTCCAAATGTATTATTGGTTATTTGCAATTTATTACACTGATATTTCAGTGTAATAATATATTACATATTATATATATTACACATATAATATATTACACATATATTACACTGATACTGATATTTCATTACCTTTACAGCTCTTTAATAATGGCACCAAGATTATTGCCAAATTCATGTTTATTTCTCACCATGTTTCCATGACTGCTTTTAATAGGACATCAAAAGTATTTTCAGAATTCCAAGAATTTTCACAACATAAATTTGGCAAGATAGGACAAGATGACAATGATGACTGTGCCTTGTTGCTTTTAATTTTGCCACTCAGCAGAGCCCCAAAATGCTCAACCTTTTTTTTTTACATAAGCAGCCACTTCTGGATCCACAAAATGAAATTTATGATTTACAGTAAAATAAGCATAACTTATTCCCCCCTCCATTCCTCTGTGTTGGATGCTTGCCAACAGTCTGAATAATTCGCCAATCCCTCTTGTATGTGGTCTATAATTTTTTCCATGATTGTGGTTGCTTTTCTATTTAGCACCTCAACAAGAAACATTCACTAGTTTCTCAGCATAATACACCAAATATCCACCCCCCCCAAATAAACAGACTTTCATCTATACCCACAATTTTGCCAGGGTCACCTATTCACTTAGTTGGTTGTTGGATTAAATATAGAGAATATATCTTTATAATAAAACTGCTACAGTCAACAGTCATATTTTCAAAAAGGTGCAGTTGTTTCTCACACCACTTCAATATCAGTTTCTCTGTCCAATAGTAAATAAATTGCAGGACTGTTACAAACAATATTCTGGAGCCATTGAATTAGTTGTCAGAATATGTGCTTTTCTTTCACCTGCAACTTTTCATGTTGTACCTCCTAATGCTTTCAATGATATATAGTTTCATTCTGTGATCTCTTTCACATATTTGAAAGTAAGGTAAAATGAAACACTATACTTTGCATATTTGAATGCAAGGTAAATGCATCTTATTAAAAAAAAAAAAAAAAAAAAACTCAGAGGCATAAAAGCCTTAATGGGCCAAGGCCTGCAGTGCCCGAAATCTGCTTTCTTGACTGTGGGCCACGGGGTACGTAAGCATATGCTCTGAACAAGTGGTCAGCTTGGTCACAGGACCCCCAGTGTTTAGCATCTTATATGGAAGAATAATACAGCATCTTCTTAAATCAAAAGTTAATAAAGTTTTTGCTGGTACTACTGTACTTTGCATATTTCAATGAAAGGTAAACACATTACTATATTTCGTAACACTACACATATTTAAATGCTAAATAAACACATTTTGGGGATACTACTATGCAATACTATATCTGCATATCTTAAAGCAATTGCTGATTAATTGCTGATTGTGGGATCTTATTTGGAAGAATAAGATTCCTCAATCAGCAGTTAATCAAAAAAATTTTAGGGGTAGGTGGAGGAGAAAGTAAATATGCAGAGGAGCCGTTAATAGGCTACAATACGCAGCCTAGTCACAGCTCCTCTCTTGATGAGTAAACTAATTAAGCGATCATTATCAGGACTGCTGTCGGCGATTTAGCACTATTCTTCGCAAAGTTTTTTAAAGGGGCTGTAAAAATAAGGAAATACTATACTTTTTAATATTAAATAAAGTTTTACATATTCATTGTACTAATTAGTTGGTGACAAATTCTAATGTACTTTTAATGTTAATTTTCTATGACATTTAATTTTCAATTTTAATTTGTACAGACTTAACAGGTTTCCAAAATACACTGTGCGGCCCAGCAGTAATGTTGCTGAACACTGGTAGTTCAATCTGGGTACAATTCTAAACGAACAGACTAGCTGCATAGCCAAATTTATGGTTTTCCCCACAGCATGGATTAAGCAGTTTTCTCCAGAAAGTCCTTCATGAAGGCATTTCTTGCCTTAGGCAAATTATTGGAAAGAATGCACAAAGGTATCCCTCTCCCACATGTGCTTTGCCATATTCAAATAAACCCAATCAATCAAAATACATTGTTTATTTACTTACGTTTATTAACTAATCAATAATTCTAATATTTAATATAAAAATGCAAATCATGTGTTTTACATGTTTATTAAAACACAAATATGCAGATAAATTAATGTGAATAAAAATAAAAAAAAAGATTTTCTGCATTTAAAAATGATAGAATCATCTAGAAAACTTACCATTTTTGCTTATGTCACCATTCTCTTTTAAATTCTCTTCTATTGAAAGACGTTCGGCAAGATCTGAAATGCCATTGTCGCTGTTCATTCTTTGAGTATGAAATGTGTGAGATATACGGCGACGAAACCGTTTCATTTTTGGCTTGCATCCCCTTTTGTTAGAAGCACCTAAATCTAGTTATGTACATATTGCTTGAGCTAGGCAGGAATAAAAAAGGCACTTTGATGGACGTTCAATATGGGACGTTCAGAGACTGCTAAACAGACTCATTGCATCTGGATGGAACCAACCATTACAAGAATGGCCAGCACTGAAATGTAAAAAAATATTTGTTACAAGACATAAAAAACATTAATAATATGCAGTGTTTTATTTAAAATGAGAGTAACAATAGCACATACAGTAATAATAATAAGATTTTTAAAATGACAAATGTTTATAAGATTAAAATTACTTTTTTTATGCTTCTATGTTTAGTGATTTTATTAACAACATATTCAAAACTAGATGAAATAATACCTTAGATTAGCATTGGTTTAGTTTAAAAAAATAAACAGATAAACAAAACTTAAAATTAGGCAAAAGGTAGGCCTCCTTCAAAATAGGTTACTGCATAATATTGTCCTCTTCCAAGATGGGAAAAAAAAAAAATCTTCTGTATATTTAACAAAAATATGCCATTATAATCCTTTGATATTCAGGTAAAAGTGCTTCACATCATTACATGAATAGTTATCTTTCTGAAAGTACTACTGAATTTCGCTACATAGTTCCTCCTCAGGTTCACATCACAATATTTTTAAGGGATTAAAAATACTAATTTAACATATCAAAGCCAGTATTTTTAATAAAACCAATGTTTTTAAACAATAAATTTAAGGGATTAAAAATACTGGCTTTCTGACAGGTAGGGTAACATGGCTGACATAATTTGCATAAAGAAGTAAAGAAGCGAGATTTTATTGTTAGTTTAACAATAATAAAAAAACTACATTGCCCACTGCACAAGGATTTCCAAACTACTATAATAATCAAGACATTTTAGTAATTCAATCTAATTAGCACTTATTTAGAAATAGATCAATCACTATTCAATATTCTAACTTAAGAAAAAGAATATATAAAGATATCAAATAAAATAAAATTTTCAGAAAGTATGATACTTTTCATTAAGTATCATAATTGTAATACTGATGCATCCTACTGATTGTACCTATATCCAGCCATAAAAAAGAAGCATATGAGATCTATAAATTGAAAAATTATGGAAAAGAAGAATGAAGGCATTTACAAGTATTCAAAAGCTTTAATCCTAACAGCCGCAGAAGTTTCTATATTTAGATAGTCATTGGAATATTACTGCCGATACATAAATACAGTAAAAATGAAATTTCTAACCTTTCAGCATTAACTTATTAATTTGACAATCTAATATAATTCAAACAGTTCTAGAATGTTCATATGAGAATTATTTATCTTTATCCTGAACAGATATGAAATTACTACCTTTATATAATGAATTCTGTACATAAATTAAGTTCATTTCTTGATTATTACTATTTTACATTTGCATTTAAATTGAATTCTCTTCGCTTTCAAGCACATAACTGAATGCGATGTTATTATAAAACTATGCAAAATAAAAAAATGAAATATTCGCAAATGTATATTTAGTTAATATTTAAGACTTTGGATAACAGAATGCATATGCTTATGTACAATTTAAAATATTACTTATTAATAACAGATGAATATACAACAGATCTCCACACAGCCAAGCAATAAACATATTAATCAAAGAGCTTTTTGATTTTCTGTTGGCAGAATTACATTTAAAAAAAAACTGTGACTTTTGGCATTTTTTAGTATTTTGATATTAGTATTTTGATACAACTACACAAAGCAATTCTCTGTAACTGCTATAAAAGTCAGCAGTCTACAGCAAAAACACTTCCAACACAAAGAATCACATCTCAAGCAAAATAATTTGCTAAATAACACTGTTCAATACTGAAATACATTCTAATGGAAATCACATTAAAACCTACATGAATAACACACAAAACTTTCCCATTAAAATATTTTTTACATAAATTAAGCTAAATAAAAAAGTAATAATGGAATGCAATTTCTAAGCCCAAACAATAGTCCTGATTTTCTGAAGAAAACTGAAAATTCTTTTTATAATACTAATGAGAAAATTTCCTCAACAAGCAATCTACTAAACTTGATAAAAATATTTCAGTGCAGTTAGTAAAAAAACAACTATTACATAAATTTACTATACCAGAACAGCAGAAGCTATATGCTTTGATAAAATAGTCTCCACATAGATGAAATTTATGACAAAAAAATATTTTAGAAAGAAAATTTGCAAACTTCAGTCTAATGTGATACTTCGGCTAATCTTTGGAACATGGTAACAGGTAGTTTGGCGACATTTTGGTAAGGCAATAAAGGTTACTAGATAGGACTTTAGCAGTGTACATGGATAAAGTCAAGAGTGTGCGCAATGCCATTTTTGTGCAATTCTGGGATGTTTTTTTAAGTGAAAATAGGTCGATGTGTACATGGATCGTGTATGTGCAATTCTTAAAAATGCGGCAAGCAGTGGGTGATTCTGCACTTTCTCCCAATTTCGCACCTAATCTTCGTCATGATTAAGCACTTTCAGAGGCGTAGCTAGAGGGGGGCATCTATTCCCGGGCACAGAATCCAAGGGGCGCCAAACTCATGTTACGACATTTTAGAATTAAATGTTTTCCATCCTTGGCAAGCAGCAGGCGCGTAGCTAGAATTTCCCGCTCCTGGGGACAACTGAAGAATTTGTGCCCCTTTCTGTGTGCCAAGAATGGAAAAAATTTCATTAAAAAATTCCGTAGCATTAGTTTGCCGCCCCTTGGATGCTGCGCCCGGGGACAGATGTCCCCCCTTGCCCCACCCTAGCTACACCACTGGCAAGCAGTAGGGGGCGCGAAATCTTCAGTTGTCCCTGGGTGCTGAAACCCCTAGATACGACTCTGAGCACTTTTGTTCCATAAAAATTCTAGCATAAGCGTAATTCAGTTGCAGATTGTTGGAAAAAAATGTTGAGTAAAAAAAAAAAAACATGACTTTACTTCGTGAAAACAAAATGGCGTCCGAAAAAAAAAAAACTAGCAGGTTGCTGTAGCAGGGTTGGTCGCCAAATTTTCGCCAAGTTACCATAATCCAAAGATTAACCGATACTTCTTTTAAAATGAAATTTATAACTACAACAGAAAGTCAATCATTTTAACTAACAGTAATTAAGGTTGGTAAAATAAATGATTTATATCACTAAAGATGCAAGAACCCAAAATGAATTAATGATGTGAAAGTATTAGTACTGTATTTTGAATGTGTTTCTGGATTGCACAAAATAATGATTTTCCAAATATCAGTACACAAAACAATATATATAATATATATATATATATTATTTATATATTTTCATACATAATTACAGCTATGGCGGTTTTTCCATTCTCTAGCAATCAGAAGTGCTCAATATCAGTGCTGGTCCACTAAACATACAGCAGTACCTTCTTTTGATAAATGTTTTGTTCGAGAGCAAATTCCATAAAACCAGGGAAAAATTAATGATGTTTTTATTTTTTTACATACATAAAAAGAAAACGAAAAGGTACATAATTTCACACTGTAGTAGGTATCCAAAAATGTTCATGCTATAGATTTCAGTGAGAAATAACGACCCAGTTTGTGCAAATACATTTTATTCAGAAAAATAATTTTCTTCAGCTTCAGTTACATGTTCCTAACACGTTACAAGCTTATAAATCTGGCATCTGTAAAGTTCTCAATCCTAGAGCCCCAAAATTGCCTCATGGTTGCTAACCCGAAAGGTTATCCATAGCCAAAAATAAGTGATAATCAGATGAAGCGATGTCCAGGAGTAAGGAAGATGAAGTAAAACCTCCCAATCAAGTGTGCTGATCACTTTTGCTGTTTTAATGGAATTAAAAGTTTAATGGTCAGCAAAGTTTTAATGGTCACTTTTGTTGTTTTAATCTTAAAGAACGATCACGCCTTTCCAATTGACTAGTTCTGGCTGCTTGCAATGCAGTGCAGCTGTAAGCCTTTGTAACTGGAACACCAGTTATGAAGTTTTTGCTACTCTCTAGCAATTCGAAGTGTGCAATACCAGTGCTGGTCCACCAAACATACAAAAAGAAGTACTTTCTTTGGATGAATTTTTTGTTCGAGAGCAAATGCTACAAAACCAGGGACGATCAATGATGTTTTTGCGCATTTTCCTATTTTTATTCTTTTAAATTTTTTTTCAGTTGCTGTATAACATTTATTTCTCGCTGAATGTCAATATCTTGTTCAGAAATGGAGCTTTTTTGTGCCGTGACAATGAAGAGCAAATGATAAGCCATTGGAGTTTGGTTTCTTGGTCGAAACAAGGGGAACTCACTATCTGAGCTTCCACATCTTCGATAGGTTGTGCAGATGCAATCGAATGGTTTCCTCCACCTCTCCAAACCCTTGTGCAGATTCAATGTGGATTATACTTGATGCCTTCCTTCAGCAGACCTTCATCAATAGTGGATGGATACCCAGTTTGAGGCTTGTCTTGGAGGCTCTCAATGCAAATTAACTGAACTACTTTCACACTGTGAACTCATTCACTGATGCTTCTCCAAATACAGAAAATATCTTTCTAGCAGCTTCAGAAGCACTGCTGTCGAATTTAAACACATAAAGTAACCACGGCCAATAAAACACCCTTCGACACCGATATGGTTAATTTCAGGATTGTAGTTCTTACAAAACTGCTTTGGATATGACCAACAGCCTTCAAAACTCTGCACCGACTGATAGCTGATTGGAATGCAAGCATCTAACATCATCCCAACAGAGTTGCCAACACCTGCTGTCTGAATTAGACTTTTCACTGCAGCGGCATGCATAAATATTTTTGGATACCTACTACGTATAATGCTGAGAAAGTATACTTTCTAACATAATCTTGTAAGACCTTTTTTTTTTCCCCCATAACAAAATCTCATTTTTTTTAGATACAGTATCCCACCCTGAACTACTTTCTACCTTGCAACTGCAGATTCAAATGCAGTGAGTTTAACATGAAAGGGCTCACATTTTGTCTTTTGCAATACTTTTTTCTCTATTTGTAATCAAAATCACCTCGCTAACACAAGTATGTTCTTCTTTCAAATTAATTTAATACTTTCTTCTTTATTCAAAATCTGATAATGAGGGTCAAGATTGTTCAGCTAACATCTCTGCATCTTATTACAAACATAT